GCCTGGGGGAAGAGATGGGGGTACCCACCCACCCAAAATGATGCTCCCAGGTTGCAGGTGACCCCCTTGTTTTCCCCATTGTCCCCCTGCCCCCAGTACCCAAGCCCCATGTGTCTCCCGGTGCCTGCAGCCCTGTGCCCCTTCCACCTCCTGCACTCCCAGCCCTTTGGCCCCCATTGCCCTTCACGGGTGTCTGCCAGCCTTGTGCCCTTAGTGCCCCCAGCCCCGACCTTCCCCCAGCCTTGTGCACCCTGACCCACAGCCCAGGACTCCCAGTGGTATGTCCCCTCATCCTATGCCCCTAATGCCCCCAGCCCCTTGGCCCCACCTCAGCACCCCATGGCTCCATTCTCCCAGTGTCCTGCCATCCTGTGCCCCCTGCCCCATGGCCCTGTGTCCCCCTGCCCCGCTCACCCATGCCCGCAGACTGGCTGGAGGGCAGCGTGTTCCTTCTCCTGGTGGCCCCAGCATCCAGCTCGGCCACGTAGGTAGCAGGGACAAAGAAGGGCCGAGCCCAGCGGGGCTCGCTGGCCCGTCTCACCTGCCACCAGTCCTCGTTGGCTTTGTGGAGCAGCAGGAACTGTTCGCCAGCAGCCATGGCCACATGCCGCCCATCCTCAGCCCGGTACGCGTAGTTGTAGAGGGCGCGAAGCACCACAGCTGGCTCAGTGCGCTGCCACCGCCGCCCCTCCAGCTGCCATCGCCCTGCCAGCATCCTCATCCCACTCAGGGCACCGGGGCACACTATAGCCTGGCCCTTGCCATCTGCAGGGGATGGGACTGGCGGTGAGGGTGGATGTGCCCTGTGCCCTATGGTTGGCATGGCCCTGGGCTGTGGTGGAATGGGGCTGAGTGATGCCATGGGTGGCAGCAGGGACCCTGCCTGCAGGACCAGGACTCAGTTGACAATGTGTGTGCCATGGCCATGCCCCATGGGCAGGCTGTGCCCATATCCCAGGCTGTGCCCCACAGCCAGAATGTGCCCCATGGCCAGGCTTGCCCCACAGGCCATGGATTCCCACCTCCTGCCCCCCCCTCCCCCAGCAATGCTCCCCCGCAA